ACTAGCTTGAGTGCTGAGATAGGTACATTTTCATCCATGATCAGTTCACATTTTGACTTTCGATACTTTGCAAACATCTAGAGAAAGAAGACATTTCCCAAATATCTAATATAATATACAGAATTGCCAGTTACTAGGATCTGTATATGCATTTATGACTGAAGTATATAGTTATACTGTTTCTACTTCAGGTAAATCTAATACATGCACATTTAATATATATGCATTTAAAATTTTCCCAGTGTGCAAGGTCTTACTAGTTTTTCACCTATTTATATTATAGTTACAAGAGGTGGTGAAGCTTTGCTTTCAACAGGTGCCTCTCAGTGTGCCAGTCTAAACAAAATTACCCTTGGTTTTCCAAGTCTGTGCTGGTAAAAGACCAAGACTACTTTGAAATACTGCATGAATGAAAATGCAGATGGATGGGAGAAGAGTGTGAACAGAGTAATGAACAGCAAAGGGGTTTGGTTGCTGACCATACTAGTAAGAAATGGGATTAAGGAAAATTAACATACCGTTCCTCATGTTACCCCACTAGAAACATAGGGTGGGTAGAGGGGTATGCTGAAATCATAATTTCTTTGCAGTTTCATTTTTCCATATTTTTAGAGCACATGTTGTGCTTTGAAAGAAAATACACTAGATGGTAGGACAAGATGCTCTTCATAGGTCCTTTCCAATCTTAGTCATTCTGCCATCCTGTGCTACAATGTCACTGCCAAAAAAAAAATGGGGCAATTTTCAAAAAGGTACCGTACAACAGGTAAACCTGGAATTTCCCACCAAAAGGTACAGGAAAATGCCAAAAACACATATTATGCTTTAACATGCACATCATTGAGGAAAGCTGCCACCCTTGCTGTCCTGCAGTGAGTCCATAGAAAGTATACATGAACATTTCTTAGTCTATGCCAGGCTCACTAGTCAAGTGCTTGAAAGAAGCAGGCTGATGTGGGACAACACCATTTGGTTCCCATGAGCTGCCATCCTTCCTCCAGGGCTCTGAAGACCCTAGGGTTTAAACAGCTGCTCCTTTACCTTTTATTTTTTGATGCTTTATTATAGCAGCAAGGCAACAGATTGCTTATATTCCATTTTTCTTGGAATGAGCATGTGTGTATGTCAAAGTGATAACATAAGGCTAAGCCATATTTCTAGTAAATATTACTTTAAATTATCCTGGAATGTAAAAGTGCACTTGTGCAAAACTAGCTGCCCAAAAAGGGAAGCAGAGCTGTAAACCATCCTGCCTGCAAGTTGAGCATGTCGGCAGGAGAGTCACTGTATAAGGGCATGTTTACAGGTCACGTAAGCCTGCATCTACGCTGAAACTTATGCCCTAAAACACAGAACATGCGTGCACTCAACTGCAGCCACCTCCCCTACGTGGGCCGTTACAGCGTGGCAGGAAACCAGCTGAGACCTTGTGGTCAGAGGAGATGAGATTCCTGGGTGAATTTAAGCCTTTTCATCTCTACAACGTGGGTACAGCCAAGAGCAAGGAGGAGCCTCTCACCTGTGGCCAAGTGTGAGCACTGTGAACCTCATCACTGAAGCCACCTTCAAGGTGGATTTAAGCCAGTCTCTCATTTTTACTCACTCCAGCAGTGACAGGCGAGACATGACCCAAACTCAGTTCCCAACCCCACCCTCAGCTGAGATGCAGTGAACCACATGAGCCTATTTCACCTGTTTCAGAACAAAAGCAGGCAAAGAAGCTGCTCAAAGAGCTCTCCTTCTGAATATACAGCAAGGGCAGACGGACCCAGGAACACCTGCGACAGCCACATAAACCTGTGCACTGACAGCAGTAATGACATGTGGGTAATTATCAGTAACGCTGATGCTACAGGTAAAGCCATAAGCAGAAGGAAATGAAAAATTAAGGTACAAACCAGCTGTTTCTCTTTCATCCACAGGCGCAATTTAGTGATGCCAGAGTGTTGCACAATGCCTGTGATGCTGATAGAAGGGGAGGCAGGAGCTGGGCAACAAGGCTGATGGCATCCCTGAATCGGGTGCCACTGCTGTATAACCTCTGGCAAATCATTTAACTCTCCCAGGCTTTGGGGCCCCTTTTGTTCAAATCTTTCTTCATTAAATCTGTAAGACAGGAATAGTGTCGCCAGACTTGGTCATTGCCCTGCTTTACTGGGTCCCTTATTTTAGCTGGAACTGCTACTGCAATGCAGATACACGAAACAAAAATGTGAAGTTTTGGAAGTTGTGACTTTTGGGGACATAAATGCACACTGTGCATTCACCTGCAGAGCTGGGATCCTTCTGTGACACAAGACTGCATGTTTTTCCTTCTGGCAAGTCTGATTTTGGAAGTGAAATTACATTACTGGCAGTGGGGAGGGAATAATTCTGTGATAAACAGAAAGATAGCCACCAGAAATGGTTAGATTCTTGGGTGAAATACACATAAAAGCAAATGGAGGCAGTGCAGAGGTGCAGTATGACCCTGCAACCCTACAGTCATTGGGAAAAAGGTGAGGCTCAAGAACAAGGAACATGTTTGGGGTTGGAGGGGAGAATAAACTACTGAACTGGAATCTGAAATGCTAGGCTGTTCTGTTCAACATACCACTCCAGCATCCCCAGCCTCCATCAGATGCCCTGCATGCCATCCCAGGCTGAAATCGACCATATGTTTATAGCTAAGCTATGAAATTCATTTGTCAAGTCCTGGGAATTTTTGGCAAGTTGTCTTGTACTATATGTGTGGTCTGCTACACTAAAACAGAGCATTGCAGTGGGTATGTCTATAGGATCCAGAGGCAACACAGCTGATGATTTCCCTGCTCTGACTTTTAGTGCTGTGTGATAATGAATGGAGATAGAGAGGACTCAAGGTGACAGTGTTTCGGCACAGTTGCTAGGCTTAAAGCCTGCTGAAGGCTGCTGGAAGGAGCTATAAATACGTATCTGAGCTCCAAGCCAACTGTGTAAACTCAGAAGCTGCCTGCTTCATTCAGGGACTTTATACCCACCAGAGAGTCTGGAGCCCGTTAGAATAGAGGCAAGTCAGTGGCTGGCAAGAGTCACATTTTCCTTGTGAAAGGGGATGGGGATGATGCTAGGACAACGCAGGGGCGGATGACGGATAGGAAATGATTTCTCGGGTGTTTTGAAACGAAACACATAATCCAGGGTTACGGCCCCTCATTAATCAGGCAGAGGAGTACAGAGGTGCCAAATCTCTCAAGAACAGCCAGAGGGCTTGGAGTCATCTGTAAGCTCTTTCTAACCAAACCCTTGGTGTGACATTTGCCCAAATTCTAGATCCCAATTCAAATATCATCACCTTGGCCTACAAACAGTTGCCTAGTGGCTCCGATTCAAGCTGATTCACAACAAAATATAAATCTTTCTTCACCTAAAAGAAAGCAAAAAGCTGCTGAGAAAATCTTTAATTCCTCTACCTTGTGCAATCTTGGGCTGATAGTTTTTTGCAGCAAGAAGAGATTAGTCCCATTTCTTCACTTCCTGAGCCCACATCCCTCTTCCCTGCCATGTAGGTTTCTACAGGCTATCCTGACAACATATTTTTTAATATAGCAAGCAGTGCAGAAAGGAGGCAGAACTGTCAGAAAGAGGTTTCATTCAAGTTTTTGATATCTAGCATGAAGATGTCATTTTAACAGAGATTATCAGGCTGCACGACAGGAAAAAGCCAGGATCTCTCTCAGCCTAGCAAGATCATTTCATCTTCAGAAGGAACTTCAGCTCATGAAGGTCAGCAGGTACAATATAACCTTTTCCATGGTGAAAACAAGACCCATGAAACTACTGTTACATGGAGAAGTGCTGTGATTTGCACCCTGGTGACAATGCAAAGCCAACTCTAAGGCTGCATGCTGACACCTCTGGTTCCCCAGCTACCTAACTGCCCCTAAGTTGGGTCCTTGGAGACTTTTTTCAGTTCTTCTAAGATCACAGAATCATAGAACCGTTTAGGTTGGAAAGGACCTTTAAAGGTCATCTAGTCCAACACCCTGGAAGGAACATCTTCAACTAGAGGTATAATAGCCCCAATCTTGACAGCCTGCACATTTGGGGCTAGATGGAGTCCTCCTGAATGCTGAGGATAAAAGCTCAATTTCAGCTGAGGATGGCAGAAGACACAGGCACTCAGCACTCCTCAACCTCCAGCCCCAACTGTATATCCAGCCTTCAGGCTTCAGAGGACAAATCAAACTCCTCTGTGAAAGGCAATATCCTGGCAAAACCAGCCACAGCTTCTCCCAGGCAATTTCGAAGATATCCATGTTTCAAATCTGCCCACTAAACCAGCCAGAAAATCAAAACAGTGCTATCCAGGAAGGATTTATCCATAACAAGTAAAATGCATTTCCCCACTTCAGCATGGGGAAAGCGGCAGATGAGGTAAAAGGAAAGTTTTACGAGGTATATTCCACACTGCAGACTGTGCTCTGATAGAGCAACACCTCTGAGCAGAAATCCACTTATTTACAGATGGCTTCTAGTGCTATACTGTAGCTGTTGTTTCCCACCTCCCACTCCTGTTATATTTACGTGCCAATTTCAAACTCCCACTGATCCAGGCTGAGGTTGTGAGATGCTCTGGGGAGGAACAACGGCAGTTTCCCTGTGGCTGTCCCAGCACAGTGAGGGGGACAGGCAGTGTCAGCTGGCCCTTTGCCACGGATGGCCCAGCATCATCCCTGCACATTTGGACACAGGTACTCACCTAAGAGCTGCACTCCACGGGTGAGTCCGTAGACATCAATCAAAGCCCAGAGGGGCTCTGCCGTCCTCACCCCGCTGAAGAAGAGCACCGCAGCAGAGTCGTTCACCCGATAGAAAACCCGTCCCTTCTTGTCCACCCAGAAGGCTATGATGTTTCCCTCGTTCGCAAATTCTTCTGGCAGAGCCTTGGCCCAAAAACCGCTTTGGGAAACCAAGTCGGGGCACGCGTACTTCGGCAGAGTGTCAGGGTTAATTCTTGATGGATCCTTGGAAGTAAACCCGAGTCGAAGAGCCCCACTCCAGCAACACTGCTTTTTAGTGATCTGCAAAGATAGGAGCAGCAATAACAGCGTTTGGCACTTGAACATCTCCTTAAACATCTACACAATGGCTCTATGCCATTGAGCACCAACAACCACCACAAAGATGAGCCCACTAGATTTAGGAAAGATTTTACCCATCAAACACCACCACAGCTTTTTCAGCAGCAAGCAGCAATGCTGCACACTTAGAACACAATGCACGAATTAAAAAAAAAAATCAAATTAAATCTATGTGGAGAGGTGAAATGTAATTACAGCTGCATGCTGACTCACTTCTATTTCTAGGGTAATTCCTTTTGGCCTAAAAATCATCCTCTTGCAAAATGTGTTAAAAATGGCCATGAGAGCTTTTATCTCAGCACCTGCAGCAGCAGAGCTCTTGCCCCGTGGTGCTTGGGCGATGTGATCTCTCATGACCTAAGGGAAAAGCACTGGCTCCAGAATCACAGTCAACACCATAGGGTTTTTTGGGTTTCCCAGTCAAGTAAAAGACAGTCTTACCCCTGCTTAGCTTGTCAGATTGGACGAAATCACAGGCTTGCATCAGAGAACTTGTGTATAGGAAAGCACAATTTAAATTATTTAACTATATTAAATACACAATTAGGAGCCAATGATAGATGTTGTCTTATGATTGGGGAAAACCCATTTATTTCAGCTGTGAGTGGTGTTTTTCAAGACATGCTGTGCACATCTACAGCCCACCTGTCAGCATGCAGTTACTCAGAGTGTCGGGGGCCAGGAACACCTGCGATAGTTTTTGGGACGGCACATGTGTTATATCCACCCTTCTGCACCCGAGAGACAGCAGGACAAAGGACCACAGATACCTCCAGAGTCATCGGCTTTTTCTCACACCAACTAAGCCCTGGACTGAGGGGATCTGAGTGTTGGAAGCAGCGGGTCCCAAACACGTGCAGCACATCCAAAACACCACTCAGCTACAAGGTCTCTTTCTTCCCATGGAAGCAGGGAGTCTTCCAAGGTTAGTATGGTCCCCAGATGGAGATTATGCCCTTGGATAACTTTTTCTCTCATTTTATTGTTTGACTGTGAACCTGCTGGGAATTGTCCCTCTCAAAGGGATTCAGTCTGTCAGCATCCAGACTCTGAAATGAAAGACCTGAGGATGCTGGATCCAACCCTGATGTGAGGCCAGGACAGTTCCTGCATGTCAGTTGACACATAATTGGTGTTTCTGTTCATGCACTGAACCTGCAGCATGAGAGCACTTGAGATAGCCCTCTTCCATCAAAGCATTGGCAGCCTCAAGCAATTTCACTCTTGGCTGCAGGACAAGAGCAGAAACATGGATAGGTACCACAGACCAGATGTCATACAAAACTTGCTACCTTACTGTAATTTCTCCCTCTGCCAAAGTTCTAATGGCTTGGATGAGTGGTAATGCCAGAGATTGAACTGTCCAGGACTGCAGGACTTTGTTCTCAAAAGCCAAGCAGCAGCTCCTCATGTCCCATCTTGGAAGCTGACAGCACAGGATTTTCACCAAGGGATTCTCCAAGACATTTTCTTTGGACTTGTTAATTCTTTTCTAAACACATTGGTAAATATTGCATTTTTCTTTCACATGTTCCTCTCCAAGGCAAATGTGGAATGTGTGCCCTTGGAGGCACAACAATCTCACAACAAATACATTGTTCAAAGCCTAGAGATTTCTATCTTATTATCAAAGTATCAGAGAAAGTAACCCAGAGCTTTAGAAAAAAGTTATCAACAGATGGTTCCTCAGGTGAGTGAATGCTCTTTATCCCTGCTCAGTCCAGCCAAGCACCTAAACTGTTTACATGGGAAGCTCCTCCTTGCAGGATGGACGCCAGAGTGGCACTGAAAAGGACTGATGCAGATTTGCTATTTTATATGCCTGGCCAGGATGGGATGGGTTCATGGATGTCCCCAGTGGAAGGGGGTGGATGGGGCATGCACGTATCAAAATGGGGAATGTACACACACTCCAAGAAGAAGCCTGGATTATTTATTGCAGCAAATGATTGCAAGCTCTAAAAGTTTTTGGGTCTGAGATAAATATGGCCTCATTGTTATTTGTACAATTTACTCTTTCACAGTCTCTTGCCAATACTTCACAGCAATCACAGGCCGCATGAAGTAAATATTCATATGCTAATCGAGGCTGCACAGTTTCCATGTATTAATCAGAACCTATAAACAGTTCTCAATACAGCCTGACCACAGGCAAACTAATATCCAAATTAAAAATCTAGTATAAAGCCTGCCAAGAATTAGACACAGCTGGACGAAGGGTACACAGTTTTGCTAAAAAAGGCAATGGTTAATGATGGACCAAATTCTCTCTTCAGCAGCCACTGCTACCAGAAAAGCTTGGGAGGTCCAGTGGGTACCAGAAGGGGAGGAAAAGATACAGTCTGCATCCAAACTGCAAAGCCACGGTTGCTTCCACAGATTTAGGCTCCTGCTCTTGTGCCACCTTTGACAACCTCACCCCATTCCCTAGCAGTGCCCAGAGTTACACAGCCTTACTCAGACATATATCTTGGAGGCAAAGAAAGAGGAAATTTTCACATACTCCACGCAGCTCTGGCTGCCTGTTGGCATTCCCAAAGCTGCAAAGAAATCTCAGAATAAAACCCAAGATACGACACCTAAGAAATAGAATGGTGTCTCCTGACTTCTTTCTTATAGTTTTTCAAAGGGAGTTTAGACTTTATAGGACCTGAATGGCTGGGTTCATGGTTAGTCTTTAGGTGGTAAGAAGGTTTAAGATGTCATTTTCCATAGGCACACACAATGACAAGGTAAATGCAGGATGGACTTATCAAAAAAGCAAATATGTTTTCACATTTCCATCCATCCCTAGAGTGCTGAAGCCTGTTGATGTCTCCCATGAGACTCTCCCATTAGACTCAGCAGGAGCTCTGCTCACAAATCCCTTGAGCAGAAATTAAAGATTTGCATGCATATTTTTCACATACGTTATGCAAGCTAAAATCCTAAAATATACAATGATTAACAAGTCTGAATTTCCTGAGATAGCTACATCGTTTCTGAATGAGGAAGGAATAACCCAGAACCTTTGCCTAAACCACTAAACCCACTCAAATCTTTGATGGCATTTTCAAAAACGAAATGCTGCTTTCATCTCCTCCCAAATAATTTTTCGCAGTTGTTTGTCCAAACTGATGGCCAACATGGATAAATCCCATTAGGCAATGTGAGGAATGCCTGCTGGGCTTCTAGCCTGAAGAGAAGCAGGAAGAGCTGCACAGGCAATATAACAAACCTGTAGGAGAGATGTTCTGCCTACAGGCCTGAGCCTGAAATCACTGAAATCTCTCTATATTTTCAAAAGGAGGCATATTCCACATTTCTTTCTCCTTTGCTGGCTGTGAGGGAAGAGGCAGGGAAGGGTCCTCTACCAGTGGGCAACAGCAGGATCATTCAGACTCAGTAGCTACATGCAGATAAACCTCCTGGAAAACTCCTTGTGAGTAAATGAAGGATTTGCAGGTGGATCTTTCATGTGTGCCATGAACTACAGTCTGCCAAAGATGATGACCTACTTTGTGCCAACAAAATGCACAGAATCAGTTAAGAACGGAAGAAACACAGTTCCACAAACTAGAGGACATAAAGATTGGAAAGTATCTGTGGATGAAGTGCAAAGCTCCTTCAAGGTGCTGAGAGACTAAAAAGTGCTTAAATTCCCAGGGGGACTGATGAATTTCTTCATGGGAAAGCGGGACCCAGTGCACATGGAGACATGCTGTCTTAGAGGAGCTGAACTTCCCACATCAGCTGCAGCACAAGGGGTACCAGCTCCATCCTCTTGGCTACCACAGACACAAAGGAAGTGAAATTGGCCTCTGCCAATACAATGCCTGCAATGTTCTCTCCTCTGACCTTAATGCTATCAGGCAAATGATTCAACAAAGAAGTCAGTAGACTGCCAGAAAGATCCTTTTCTTAGATGGCAACTGTGACCACACTGACTGCTCTGTTCATCCTTTCAGCAAAACCCTGTTATCTTCCCTGCCAAGCACACAAGCAAGAACCTTCACTCCCAGCTCCTTTTCACCTCTCATCTGTTGGCTGTGAAGAGGCTGAGTCCCACCTCCATGAGACCAGCCCTCATTGCTGCCTTGTTTACAGGAAGCTAAGGGCTTGTTTTGGAACTGAATGGGTTAACTAACTCCTCACCCTCCCTCAGCCTACCCAGTAAAACTCATATGCAGGATACAGGCAAAGCCTAGAGGACACATTGGCTGGAGTGATACTGTGGCTGCTGCCTTTCAGATTGACCAACGCAGCCCTTTTTCGTTGCTGTTTTCCAAGCAGTCTCAACTTAATCTGTTCCTTGTCTAACATCCAGATAAATTCTTTTAGAGCATGGATTTCCCTTTTCTTCCCAGTTTCTACAGTGGTCTGTACTGATGGCTCCAAGAACTACGATGACAAAAGCAGAAGTATCAACAAAGACTGTAGATCTTTAAGGGCAAGATCTGACCCCAATATTCATTCACAGCAGCTCACATGGCAATAAGGGAAGGTATCATTTACTCACCTTAAGTCTGACTTGTTCATAAATAACGATGGGCCTGTTGCTGAAGGTAATGGCGTTGCAGAAGCTAGCCTGGCGCTTCACTGCCTTCTGTGTTGTGTCCATGATGATCTGGGATCCCTTCGTGTGGGGATGGAAAAGTAGAGGGCTGATGGACAGAGCTCCACACTGTGGGATGGGGAGACAGTGCTTCTGCTTGTGGTGGCATCGGTGGGAGGAAGCCGAAAATGACCCACCTATGGAATCTGAAAGCAGAATGGGGATAAAAGGGTTTAAAATCTGCTGTGAGTAGTAAGTAAAAAACTTTCAAAGCAAAAAAAAAGCAGGAGTACTTCAGAGGGGGACTATAGATCAAAATAAAAGTTAGTCAAATCCCCACTCTGTAAATCACTACGGGTTTCTAGAGCATCTTGAACAATAAAAGGCCACAAGGATACAGAAGAATCTCATCTGGACAGTCTCATAGTACAAAGCACGACATGGAGAGTGTAGCTCGGCATTGAAACCACAGAGACCACATGTAGGAAGAGAAGGCAAGAATTAGTTCCAAAACTGAAATGAAGCATGTGTGAAGTTGCTGTATCAAAGCTGTCTCATTTAGGGAAAATCTCCCACTTCCAGAGGACTTCCACACAACTTGACTATTTCTCTCACTCTCCCTTTGCAACAGTAATCCTTGCTTTCATATGTCCTAACCAACCTCGCAAAGTGCCAGCTCAGACACATACATTGCTAATTTATCCTCAAGTACCACTCAGCAATAACCCACCTGGATTACCCCACCAACCACCATCCATTCTCCTCTCTCTTCCACTGATGGGAACCTCAGCTGAGATCCCACTCATCATGAAGGCATTGATCAGCATGCTATGATTACGGTGAGGAAAGCGAAGAGGGAGAAAGGCTATGAAGCAGGGAGGAGATCACATCTTTCTCTAAGCAAGGCCCTCCATAAAAAGGCAATGCACGATCAACACAGTCACGACAGCAGCTTTGTTCATGAATGAATGGGTGCGTGAGTTTCTTTTCAACAAGGAGCCTGCAGCAGTTCAAGCACAAAACAATCATTATACTGAACCCAAGTCATCTGCTTCCTTTTTCTTGTGTGCACATACACACCACATTATGCACATACGTTTGGGAGGAGATACTCGTAGGTTTGGAAACAGAGTATCAACAGATAAAAGGATTATTCCGTGACAGACTCAGGGCGGCAACAAAAGCAAATATGACCTTAACAATGTGCCAGTTTGCACTGTAAAGATGCATGACTGAACAGTATGGTTAAAAACTCTATTCCTCAAACATTCAAACTATAGAAAATAATTATATACATTCTTCACGCAAATTAACTGCTGACAGTTATGTCTTTATATCGCTGCTATAAAATAATGCTGACACCTCTAATGCAATTCTTGGCTTTGTAACAAAAAGCCTGGACCCTATTCCTCCCAGTCTTTGGGGTCATTTTTAGCTTGTAGCTGCATGAAGTTGTAATGGCACATAATCAGGGCAAGCTTGAATAACTACCGACAGAACTTAATATCCTGGTTTCTGATGAGAACATTTTAATTCAACTTCAGCATCAGTCACTCCAGCCTTCTCTCATCTTGCTGTTTTTTCTCTCGCATTTTTAGCAACAGTGTTATCCCTTCAGAACAGAGCAGGGAGGACAAACAGGACTTCAAAATCTTTCATTAATGCTTTAAGGGAGAGATGAACCAACTGGGAATTATTTGATGCTAAAAATTATGCGGAATATAAATAATCTTCCTTCTCCTGTTCCTCACACATGGAGGAGGAGAAATAAGGTACAGAGTATCAAGAAAAAGTAGAGGTTCACCTGAGCAGGCAGATCAGAGAGACAAACCTTCAGGGGGAACAGACTGCATTGAAGGGTAGCTTGACATGGGGAAGGTCAGGATGCAGCAGCTCACATGAATCATAGAATCATAGAGTGGTTTGGGTTGGAAGGGACCTTAAAGATCATCCAGTTCCAACCCCCCTGCCATCAGCAGGGACACCTTCCACTAGATCAGGTTGCTCAAAGCCTCATCCAGTCTGGCCTTAAACACTTCCAGGGAGGGAGCCTGACCTCTTCCCTTTGGGCACACTACTGACCTGGGGCAATGCACCCTGCCTCTCCCCACAGCCCAGACTGGGTGGTCAGAAGACAACACAAGCTCCAGCAGCCCCATAGAGAGAACCTTCTGAGGTTACCCCCTAAGACCTGTTTAATTAGAGCTTGCCTTATGCCCTGAAGAACAGGAGGTTGCATCCCTTCCAGTATCATTAGCATTCTCCCAAACCAGATACATTCTCTGCTACCACCCCTCTGGAACCCTGTTAGGCCTTTGGCTTTAATAATACCTTGCTGATTAGTTCCTCAGGCTTAATGGTAGTTTGCAAAGAAGTATTTCCTTTATCACTGCAAACACAATGCTGTTCATCACAAGTGGTTATGAATTAGAGGCACCAAAAGTGGCTGACTTAACCTTGCTCCACTCCACTTCCCCAGGTGGTCATGCCGGTCTGTAGGGACAAGACCATTGACAGATGGTCAAAGCAAACTATCCCAGCCTCTCTTTTGGCAGAAATTTTTCAGGCCCATTGCTGACTGGATCTCGCCTTTGCTCATCTCTTAGCTGTCTCTCTGTTTCTGCTATATCCCTTTTTTTTGCAAGTGGACTGACTAAAAGTAAGCATCTAGTGTAAAAACTTCCATTCCTAACTTTTCCAGCTTCTCTAAAACACATAGGAAGTCAGTCATTTCTGAAACAAGACACACATTAATGGATATAACCAACCATCAGAAGTAATATGAAGTCAAAGAATCCATATGAAAACCTCTTTTTCTGGTAATTTCCAGTCTTGGTTTTTTTTTCAACATCTCTTTGATATTTTCTAGGGTGCATATATGTGAAAGAGAAGCTGCTACTGGTGAGTAGGCATTCACTTCATGCCATCTTTGCATCCAGCTCTGAATTTTGTAGCTCAAACTTTTTGCTAGTAGTCACTCACCAAAACAAACTTGTGCAACACACACATTTTAATTTGTTTGATTTAATATCTCAATGCTCTAATTCTACTGGATAACTTGTCTGTCATTATAATAACTGCTGCACCTCTCCATAGGACATTACACCCTTTTCAAATGCAGTAATGGAGTCACCAAAACTGTCTACAGCTTTCAAAGCAGGCTCTGATGACAGCACTGCATATGTCCAGAGCATCTGCTGGAGCAGCATTAGGAAGCCATAGGGTCCTGCCTAACCCCACAGAAAGGATGTTAGAGGAATGCTTATTTGTTCTTGACAGTTTGGCACTGCTACGTGAGAATGGGTCAAATCCATCCCAAACCAATGCCAGCACGATGAGTGCCCTCCACACACACAGTTGAAATGCAGGGCAACCACAATCCACAGGAATGGAAAAAGCACCCTTCCACGGGTGGATAATGCAAATGGGGAGGAGACCCCCTCCTTGCTCCCAAATGCTCTTACACAGCAATGACTCCTGCATGACGAACGCACTCCGGTGAGGACCAGAAAAGGTCTTAATTTTTAAAAGTGCAACTATTTAATAATGGGGGCTTGCACCTTACAAAGGCTTGGAGAAATTACAAAGCAATGGGCCAAATACAAAGGCCCTTGCTCACTTCTTTGGGGCAGCATGTCCACTCCAAAAGGAGAAGGAACCAGGAAACTTCAGATGGTAACACAAGCACCTAAGACTGGACTTCAGACAAGGAAAGCGACACTTTAGAAACACAGTCTGGTGAGATACATCACTGTCTGTACTCAGCCAGCTAAAAATAAAATAAATCATCTGCTTAAAGTTTTTGTCCACACTGGGCTTGACCTGGACTCCAGCCTTCTCCCATTCCCTTGTTTAAACTACTACATATTTTGACACCGTCAGCTTTTGCTACCAGCAACACTGGTACAATACAGCTGGGGCCCTTGCAGTAGGTTTCAAATTTTTTGTCTTTATGTAAAAGAATTGACTGAAACACACAAACTCAAGAGTTTCACTTGGCAAAATAAGCAAAAGTCCTCCTGATTTCACAGCAACCATGCAAGACTTCATTAGCTGAAAGTCTGTCTGAGACTCCCCCTCTCCCACAACCTGACTTATCAGTCACCTACAAAGGTGAAGTGAAGCAATTGCTTGAAATAAAATTTGCAAACAAACAAGTACTTTAAAGAAGGCTGAAATCTGAGATTGTGTTCAAGGGCACTGCAGGTTTCCCACTCCACAACATAAGATGACTTCCTTCTGACAAGCAGGAGTTGTAACAACATGCCAGGACTACGTAAACTGGTATCTTGTGACAAAAGTCACAAGAGCAGAATCATGCCTGTCTGAAAACAGCCTCTGTGTCAAAGGGCTGCAAATCTAGAGAAGTACCATGAACTCCCATACAGCTTTCCAGGTTTCATGTTGGGAGTCATGAAAAACAGCATCTGCTCAATCTTTTGGTTTTAAAGATTGGACAGACCTCAGTTTTCAGTTCATGCCCAATAATAGATGCTGTTTGAACCATTTCATTCAGTACTGGGTTTGAACTCTAAACATAGCCTGCCTCTAATACAATGAGCCCCTCCAAGAGAGCAGCAGAAGTCGTTGTGTACCACTTGCTCCCCTGAGCCACGAGTACATGGGATCGATCTTCTGAAACCTTTAGTAAGCCAAAGAGAAGGAGATCTTACTTGAATTGCAACGTGAAACACTCTGAAGCGCTCTGCCTTCAGGTCTCCCACACCTAAGCGCACCCTTTTCGGAGCCCTGTTTGAGAAAGCAGAATATTGCCCCAAAGATGGTATGCTTCTCCCTCCCTGTGCGTTAGACATCCCTGGTCTCTTGGTTCTCAAGGCCTGAGCAGCATCCACACATTAGATAGAAGTCAGCACTGGATGTTTTCAGCTTAGCAAAATGCATCCCAAAGCCTGTTAGGCGTTTTCACCAGAAGCGTTCATGCTCTGCAAACATTAGGCATAATCTTAAAGGCTTGGGATTTCTTAAATGCTGCAAGAAATGGCTGGATTTACTATTTTTTTTAAATACATTTTTTCCAGTTGAAAAAATCTCAATAGGCATCTATCAGAATACTGTTACTCATTTCAGACTGAAAACTAACTGCAAGGTATTTAAGATAAACTTCTTAAAGCATGTGGAAGAAGTGGTACTCAGAATTGAAACAAAGATAAAAGGACTTCAAAACAGAGCCCAGGGACTAA